ACTGCCATCTGGGGGCTTCCCACACAGCCCAGGAGGGATGGTGATGCACCTATGGTGGAGGTGGACACCTGCCCTGGTCCTGTTCCCCTCCACCAGAGACCACTTAATCCCCCTCACGGCCCCACCTGGTCCTCCACAACCATCCCCCAACATGAGTGACATCAAGCTGGCCATGCCCACCCAGCCACACCAAGGGGAACCACAATGCGGATGCGGCTCCACTCCTGACCTAGAACCAAGGAATCATGAAAGGTTTCTTTGTCGCTCTCAAGCTAATTTCTGGTAAAATGAATGAATGAATAAATAAATAAATAATGGTTTTATGACTTGATAAGTTAGTTAAATTGTAAGTGAGAGACTTAATTATGAAAAAAATGAATGAACTTCTGCTTTGATCTCACATACTCCTATTATTGTCCTAATTATATTTATATTTTACAAGATTTGCATGTCATTGCAAAGAGTCCATCCTTTGTATCTTTAAACTAGGGGGAAAAAAACTAGAAAAAATAACTAGAAAAAAAAATTGCCCCTTGAAAAGTAGTGAGGTGCTCCAAGCCTGGATGAAGCCAAAACTCCAGGGAAGACTTGGGCTATTTTAGAAAGCAAATGCCCTCAATATTAGAACAAAAGACTCCAATCCACCCTATTGTCAACGCTGTGACAATGGATGTCAACGCTCTGACAACTGAGAATCAGCAGCCATTTTACTTTTGCTTTTAATGTGCCTTTTTCTATTCTCTTAGAATTCAGATGTAGAAGGGGGGATGGGGTTAATGCCTGAGGGTTTAGCTAGCCATAACAATGTAGAAGCATGGGAAATCAAGGACATTGTCTCATAAAGTTTTGGCGGGCTGAGGGGCTGGAGGGAAAAGCCCAAGTTTTGCACTAATTGGGGAATGTGATTTATGACAGCTTTTGTGGGGTGGGAATTTCAACGTTACTTTGTATCTGGGGGGAGGGAATCTCATTCTTGGGTTCAACTATGTAAGTGCCGATATTTTGTTTCCTAATAAAATGTTCTTTAAGGAAGAATTCTTGCCTTGAAGTTCTTTTATTGGTTTCATCTATC